GTGGTGCTCCATCTGGTAAGGGATTGATGCCCATAGCTTTTTTTATCACAACAAAAATCATCTGATGCAATGCCTTTATTTGATTCTTATTCAAAAGGATTGGGATGTCAGTTTTAACCTACAGAGATAAGTAGAGAAAAACATGCTTATTAAATAGGATGCTGTCATTGATCCAGCTACTGTAACAATATGCTACTATGTGGTAGAGCTAATTACCATAAAATCCCATATTTAAAGCTCCCTTGGTTTTAAGCCCCTCCCAGATAAAAGCCCATCAATTTGCTAACAAAGATATTCTTGTAGATATAAGAACCCCATTTATAAGCCCATCTAATGTACAAGTGCAAATTCCTTTTGTGTTTCATTACTTTGAATTAGAACTATGAAATTGTTCCAAAAATTGAAATATAAATATGAACTTTGTTATTGTTACCGAGGTCTGTTCCATTCCAGTTGTTCCAGTTGCATAAGTGTTTCATAGATGTTTTTGAAATATATTCACAGCACCATTTATTGTGAAGCACAATAATTATAATGTATTATAAGTGTAATTCTAAATGTGATGGCATATTAGCTTAATTCAATTCTCGGATACATTATACCTCATTGTTCTGAAACATTTTTTCAATTCCTCGTATATGCCCCCCCCCCTCTGATATTACCCCCTTCCCCTGTTTATATGCCCATTCAAAACACCTTATGAAGTTACTTAAGCCAAGGGCTTGAACATGGAATTTTACAGTATGACATCCCTCTCTTTATATTGGGGACGGGGGGGCAGGCAGCAGAACAATATGATTCAACCATATCCTTTTTTATCATCTGATATCAAAAGTATGTCTTCTAAACCCCAGCTGCTGCAATTATTATCAAAAGTCAGTAGAAAAACATTAATGGAATAAATTATAAGACTGTCAAGACCCTATCAAGGAAACAAACAGGAAATTTCTATTAAAGTAGCCATAAAATGTAATCATAGAAGTCTTATGTGCTGCAAAATCAAACTCAGCCATTTTGTTGGATTTGTCTGGGTAATCACATGATTTTGAGTGTAATTTGCAATAAATAAGCATGAGTAAATTTTTTCAGACTAACAAAATTGCATGAGCTGGTGGGCTCAAGTGCTTATCTATTCCAAATTACACGAGAAAAATCATGTGATTACGTACAACAATATACATGAAAAAATACGAGGTAGCTTAAAATAATTATGCAGAAGAAAAGCGCCCGCATAACATACAAAAACAATTTATTCAAACCCTGCAAGTGACATTGTGCGTTCGGTCAAAACAACTGCACACGATCAAACAAAAACAAGATAAAATGAAATTTTCACATCTTCGAGGCGCAAAAAAGTTCAAATTCCGGCCAAACAGTTGCAGGAATTGTTCAGTGAGTTAGCTAATTCTGAGTTTTTTTATTATTGACCGATCAAGATGTTTGGTTTGTTACTTTCTATGCACTAATTAAATTAAGCCTCTTCTGAACTAAATTACATGAACACTGCAATAATCTTAGCCGATCAGAGCTGAGTAATTTTTTCATGTACATTATTAAGAAATTTAACGGTATATGGTAATTTTCCAGCCAAGCAGAAATGAGTTCCGATACACCTCATAACCAACATTCACAACAAAACATAAGACAGCAAATACACTTTTTCCAATCTTACTAAAATATAAACGTTGTGACTTACGTTGGTTCGTCCTAGCTTGGAAATGCTAAGTAACGTTTGCCTTGCTTCGTCCGGAATCCTCGATTGTAGTTTGAAATACAGCAAGGTCCAGTCTGGTACTCTGAGGGATTGGAAAAACTGAGGGCTACTGTCCCCCAACATTGTTTCCAACGCTTGGAGTGGGCTGCTGCTGTTACTTCTAATTTTCTTGGCGATGTCGCTGAGCATTCGCCCCATCTCAGGACTGTGGACCTGACCTGCGATTACATCGGTGAGATTGACCTGAAATCTGTCGCAAACATCGCTGATCGTTGTCCACACATCCTCGACGACTTTCTCCTCCTTCTCCTGAATTTTGTTTAACTGTGATGTTTGTCTTTCGTGGCTGATTTTTTTTAATTCTTCTGATAGGGATACTAGCTGACTCCGCGCTTGATCGAGGTCGGCTTTTAGTCGATTGTTTTCAATTTCGATGGCTGCGGAAGCATCACGAGCAGCTTTCAGCTCCTCGCGAGAGGGTTCTGTCCTCGTGTACCGGTTCACAAGAGCCAATACAAAAGACCAAACAATACACAATAGTTAACCGAGAACTCCTAAACAAAGAAAGAACAATGGTAATTCCCTTGTGAACCGGTACACCAGGACAGAACCCGCGAGAGTCATCGCTTGGTAGAGTTGCAGAAGTCTCCGTTCCCATTTTTAGCGAATTTATTTTCTCGATCAACCAACGGTGTTTCGCCACTTCTCCTTCTTTGAATTTCTGTCGGAGGATGGCAGAAACAACTCCAAATAGAGAGGCGATGGCCACTTCATTGTTGTGAACATATCGGCCATCCAAGCTCCCGCCATTTTTCAAATCCGAAAGCTGGACCATGCAAAACTCGCTTGGAAAATGTGCCACTAACGGGCTACTTGAGAAAAACTTCCTCACTCTCATGCCACATATCTTGAAATTTAAAACAAACGATTGCTTTGCCTCATCTGTAGAGGGAGAGTGCAACAATTCAACCCTTTGAAGTTCGAAGGAATCCATAACTGCACTCTACCGCGGGAAACTAAACTTTCCCGCTTTTGCCTACGCATATCATATGAAATCCAATCTCCAAATGTCGATGGGCCGATCCAGCCCCTAAAAAAGAACAGGCTTCATCGTGCCCAGCAGGAGTAGAGATATTGTACAAAATCAAGATTACTGTGAGCGATTACAAAAACAAGCTGTCAAGGCGATAATAGACACTTAGCCGGTTTATGACGTCACTCCATAGCAACCAGCCTTTTCGAATATTTGAACTTCCGTTTACTTGTGGCTCGTGATGCCTTGCTAGCAAATACAGTTCGGATATAAATATGTGAATGTCATTGTCATTCTATTAGCTAGGCTGTAC